CGAGTCTAAACTATTCGGTCCTGTTGCAGGTGTTAATTTAACAATAACAGTCTAAGAGGATCGTGTTATCACCAATGACTATTGCTGTGAATGGTCTCTGGGGTTATAATGTGTATATGTGTCTGTTTTAATTGACATGGCACCAACTGTGGTTGTTCAATTTCATGAGAATATGCCCCCAAGGTTGAATGGAGGCCAGTTTAAATGCTTTTGAAGAAATACACTCTCTTGTCCACATGCTGTTGTTGCTGCTGTTGTGTGCCTTCATGTCGTTTCCAACTTATGGAGACCCTAAGGCAAACCTATCATGAGAGGTTTTTTTTGGTAAGATTTGTTCAGAGGAGGATCGCCATTGCCTTCCTCTGAGGCTGAGAGAGTGTGACTTGTCCAAGGGTTTGATGGTCAAACTGGGAATCTCCAGAGTTGTAGTCCAATGCTCAAACCTCTCCGCATAGATTACAATGAACCAGTCTTTAAAATGCTGCAAGACTCTACATTAAAATCCACAGGATGATTATAAGATATGTAGACCTTAATAGAGCGTGTTTCTTTTCATCTTCTGAATGGGAGCTCTTCAGGTTTATGATGGTCACATTTAAATCAAACAGAGATGCCATTCCCCACAGTTGACATTGATCTGGCGATATAATTTACACATCCAAACTCTTTCAATAGTGAACTGCTTCTTAGCTGGCTTACTCTAATTGCCCCATAAGCTGATCCATGATCTACTAAGGACTGTAATCAGTAGCTTTCCCTCCCACTGCATTAGTTAGTGATCTTCCAGGGATCTCCCCCTTCTTCCAACCCCACAGTGTACCCCAACTGTCTCTGTAACATGGGTAGGCAGTGAAAGATTGTCTTGAGAAGAGGACAGGTCGATCTGCTTCAACCAGTTGCAGACAAGTAAATCTGTATCTCCCTCATTGTTTGTCCCAGCATTGTTTATATTGTCACAGCTTAAGCAATTTGCATTGTGCTGTCTCTATTGATCAAAGCAATAGCTTCACTCACATCACAAGTGAGTTGAAGGATTTGGATTGAAGACATTGAGTGCCATTGAATTTCAAAAAAAAAACCCCACTTTGGCTAGTTTGTGGATTATTACTTTGAGAGTAAAGGCCCTATTTATTGGCCAATCCACACTTAAGTCCTTCAAGATCAATTGCCATCCTAAGGCAATAATAAGCAATAATCAAATGGGGAAACAGTGTGTTTGTTAGAACTAAGAAAAAGCTTGTGGATCCATCAACACCAGAGTTCATCAGTCTTTTGTTTTCATCAGGCTGAATGTTCAGGAATCAAACAAAGATGAGGTGGACTACTGATGAGATGGATATTAATAGAGTGTGTTTCTTTTCATCTTCTGAATGGGTGCTCTTCAGGTTTATGATGGTCACATTTAAATCAAACAGATATGCCATTCCCCACAATTGGACATTCCTGAAGGCAGTTTCTCAATCTGAATGGTATGGACTTGAGTCTTGCATATTTTGGAAGGCGCCTCCCCTTATGCTTCCCTGCTCCCCATCATGAAGAGGCAAATAGGAATCTACAGATCTCATCTTTATGAAGAATAAAACGGATGTGGTGGGCTATCACTGCAGGTCCTTTTCAGTGGTCTTAAAATGTCCCCATCATATTTCACATTGATGATGCCGAAGCAGCCTTTCTCTTCACCAGGCTCTTACAGGATACTTTTGATTTGGTGGCTACTGACTTTTTGGATCGTTTCAATTTCTTCATTGTTAGGCGAATGCACCAAGCGTTTACTTACTAGAGAGCTTGGCAAACATCTCACTGATGAGCTGAGCTTCTTTCAATAGTATTTTGCATGGCTGCTCACTAAGATACAATGAGTGCTTGGGGGATCTAGAAGGTTGCCAAACACTTCAGAAAGTTGACGCCAGGGTGGTTACTAGATACAAGAGAGGGCAGGGATCCTTGCCTTTTAATAGTTGTACAGTACAGCCAGACAAGAGAGTGTGCCAGCAAGGGTAGGTTGTTTGCCTGGCCAGCTGCACTTGCCAAATTGCCCTCTTACTTTGGCACAATTGTTAAAGGAGAAGGAACCCTGTTCTCTATTGCATTTAGCTATCTTAGGGATCATTCACACCAATTCAGAATCAGTGCACTGTTCACACTACATTTACTGCAATTGAATCTCTCTGTGCCATTTAACCCTGTTGCCATTCACATTTGCCACCATATTGATTTAAAATGGAGGTGCCTCCATTTCCGGGAATGATGCAGCACAATCTGAATCATTTCGGTAGTGTGGTCCCACTAGCGAAGATGTGGATTGTTGTGGCTCTTATAAAAAGAACTGCTAAGGAGTCTGGTGCCAAATGCACTGGTTTAAGTGGGCTTTTTGGTCCATCCCCGCCCCCCCCGCCCCCCATAAACTGCACCAAGCCTAATAGTTTGCATTAAGCATGTCCTTGAGATAAAATCCTGGCTATATTTCAGAGTAAAGATCTGGCAAAAACACTTCTTTGCCTATGAAAAACTTACAAAATTCATGGGGACATAATAAGTCAACAGGTGACTTAAAGGTATACACACACAGGTAAACAAAATCACAAAAATTAACCAAATAATATATATTGCAGGCAGCCTAGCACCACTGCTGCCTTTATCCTCTGTCAGGTGGCCATCTTGTCAGGAAATTAAAATTTCTCTAACATTATGGTGACTATTTTTAGTGACATCTTTCAGAAAACAAGGCACTGCCTCTCCCTCACCTTCACGCTGTCTTTCTACTGTGTCTGTTTCTTTGTGGTTGTTGTAAATAGAATTTATTTGTGTCTCTTTCTTTTATATGTCTAGTTTTTCATACTTTTATTAATGATGTTTATATATTTTCTACATAAAAATTAAAAAAAGAAGTCACTGCTAAATTCCATAACTTTGCCCTACATTTTGTCCTACAGTCTGACAGCTATCCAAGTGTTAAGTTGTCAAAGTTCTCCCATTTGACCCCTCTGCCATCTGAAATGCAAGACACCTACTTATTTTAAAGAGAGAATACACAGAGAGGTCACTCCTGTAGGAAGGAACTTGGTAGAGCTGGCATTTTTGCCAGTTGTTCTTTATGCTAAGAGCATATTAGCATTTTCAGTTTCACTTGTTAACAAAGAAAATTACACATTTTTGAGCCGCCCCCTCCTCCTGGATTGGTGGGTGGTCCTGCTACAGCAGAAAAAGAAACCAAGAGTCTTTTAGCCCCTTAACTACTATTAAAATTTGCTTGCAAATCCAATGGGGATTCCTAAGTGGACTCAAAGAACCAATTAAGTAAAGGAAACATCCTATGTCTTACACTTATAAAAATTCCATTGATTCAGTGAGTTTACTGGATATAGGTTTGCAAGCTTTCATGGAGACATTTATCCTAAATTTGCAAGCATATATGGTAGGATATGCACGCAAGTGGCAGAGTTATAGGCAGAAAGGTTTGAAAATGGAGAGACTGAAAAATTGCACTTAAGGTTTGAACATACAGTATTTAAAACCATTACTTTCTTATATTTGTTAAAGATATTTGTTAAAGCAAAGACTACAGACATGCAGGATCCACTTCATCGTTCACCTGCTAACCTTAGATTAGGCTACAGGAGCATATTTACTTTTTGGTCCTTATTCAATTAATGGACTGAGATTCATTTCAAAGTTTCACAGAAATAATAGTAAACAACAACAGAGTCAGGTAGAAGGAGCTGTTTTTGGATTCGGGGATGAGTGATGGAAAGAATCGCAACCCAGAGAAACAGCCCACTCCTCCCATTGATCTGCAGCATTTCACCCAAGTACTTAGTGATAGACAAAGACAAGTGGTAGAGGGGGATCCATGGCAGAAGAACCCCAAATCCTAAATGCAGTTGGGCTTGTGATACCAGGGCTGGAGAGAAAACAAGGAAAGCAAGTCCAGGACTGGTTGACGTTTTCCTTTTCTGGGGATCTGCTGGGGAAATGGACGCTCAAACTATCCCTGTGGGGCTGGACAAAGACTGTTTCCTGTTTGAGGCTATGGATAGCGTATCTTGTGCACACATCCACACCCAAACAATCCTATTCTGTATATAAGTCAAACATTTAGTGGAATCTTATCTCACTGCTTGTGGCAAAATAACGCCCTCCATAGTTGAGGACACCAAACATATTAATTTAGTGATTACTTTTACATCCTTCTATCCTACTATGACCTCAAGGATGGCAGCATGGCTCCCTCTCTCCTTGTTTTGTTCTCATAGTAAAACTGGGGGGGGGGGGGGGGGGGGGTAGATTAGACCAAAAAAAGACTAAGGGCCTTTGCAGACTGCCAGAAATAGTGCAAATTGAGTCCACTTTAAGGGTTAGGGTTAGTGCTAGGGAATCATGGGAATTGTATTTTTTCCTGAGACATTGAGCCTTCTCTGTCAGAGAGCTCTGGTGCCACAATAAAATACAGTTCCCATGATTCCCTAACCCTAACAGTGGACTCAATTTGCACTATTTCTGGCAGTCTGCAAAGGCCCTAAGTTGTCCAAGGAGCCTCAGTGAGTTCCATGAAGGAGTGGAGGATTTGAACCCGGATCTCCCAAGTCATGGTCTAATATTATAATCACAGTGCTGTCTCATCAACTCTCTTAGGAGGCGAAAAGCACATTGTGCAACATACATAGCTCTGTATTCTCCAATACCTCACTGCTGCATCTTCTGACAGACACAACCTCTTCAGCTTTGCCTAAGAAGAGAACTGGTCCTGATCCCCTGACTGTGTTCCTGAACTCTTCTTTTTTACTATTACTATGCATGGATTACTGACAAGGGGGCATTTCTGTGTTTGGAAGGAGAAGGCCCATGAAAGTGTTCCTCCTTTTCAATGGGCAAACAGCAAGATCAATACCATCCTACAGCTTCTAAAACACCTAAATGTGTTTTAGTTAAAAAATTATTCAGTATTTCCTCTCTCTATGGTCATCACTGCATGCCATTCATGTTTGGAACATTTGGTTTCATGCAGCAGGGTGTAGTGGTTTGAATGTTGGACTATGACTCTGGAGACCAGGGTTCAATTCCTAGTTCAGCCATGGAAAGACACTGGGTGACCTTAGGCAAGTCATACTCTCTCAGCCTCAAGGGAAGGCAAGGGCAAATCTTCTCTGAACAAATCTTGCCAAGAAAACCTCATAAGAGGGTTGCTATTAAGTAGCAAATGATGAGTTGGAAACAACAACAACCAGTTTACACTACTTGTTCTCAGTTGCCCTAATTTGCTAAAAGGCTGGGATAAACAGCTTTAAAAACAAGACTGAAACAAGCTTGCACAGGGTGCTTTATTTGCAAAGTTAACTGAAACAAGCTTGCAGAAACTCCTTTATTTACAAATCTAATATACCCAGTTGATGAATTAGCACTTAGATCCCATTAGCAACTTCAAGGAAGATGTCTAAAGGGTCAGTTTTCTCTTCCACCTGAGACAGTTCAAGGAAAGTGTGGGCAACCAAAACATTATTTACAAGCTAATTGTAACAACTGGGGCTGCATTTGTATGGAGCTTCATTTTGGATTTTAGAATTGTTATCTCCAGAGGGCCTTTGCTTCCCTTTTCCAGGTATTCCCAGGTTACTGCAGAATTGCTGCAAGACATCCTCCGACAGGTAAGTTCAGGACTGGTTTACTTTTCCCCATTCTGGGGATCTGCTGGGTGAAAATGCACCTCTACATGCATTTCTTCCAGGGCTCTTAAACCAAGTCTGGGACATCCCTTTCATCCTAAGAACTAAATTTGAATTTAGCTGTCCAATCCATAAAGCATCTTATCAAAGTGGGGAACCTTTGGCCCTCCAAATGGTTTGATTTAGAACCCCCATTTGTTCTACCAAGCTTGACAAACCATAAGGGACTGTGGGAAATAATAAACTGCTGCATGGAACATCTGGAGGTGTACTTTTTTAGTTGTTTCTGAGTGCATGAATGTCACTGGCTATTACTGGACAGTTGGTACAACAGTTTCCTCCCCCCCAAAAGGTTGAAGCAAGTAGAATGTTTTCTTTCATTTTATTTTTAAAGTACTGTGAATAGAAGATCTGCACAAGCATGTATGTATCCCTCCACAGGACAAAAGAAATAGTGCAAGCTACCCACCTCCACAGCATGTGCAAACCCACCTTTGTTTGCACAACTTATAATGGACATTTTTTAAATGATTTCTTTTAACAGTGAAACTGACCAGAATCTGCTCATGTGAGCTGTCAGTTTTCACCAGATTGATGGATACAGCATCAGACAAAGTAGATACAGAGAGAAAACAGGAGAAATAAGCCAACAAACATTTTCCTCTTATGACCAGATTCACTCCCCTCCCACTACATTTGTACTGTTATCAAGTTGTTGCTGCTGGAGTGGCGCTAAAGCTATGGACAGAAAAGCTAAAGGCTTAGGAAAGAAAACTGTTGCGTTGGTTTATAGATATGGCTCTGCAAATCATCACTTTGCCATTTGTGAGTGAATCAGAAAAACTTTTGCGCATGAAACAGAGACATGCATAAAAAGAGAGACCCACTACTATATTAATTCCCCAGATCCAGCATGATTTTATTTCTCTCCTTGCAGCCAGTTCCCCCTGTTTGGGAGCACTGATGTTAGTGAACAAGGCACAAGAATCAAGGCATAGACTTTAGACAAAGCATTCCACCTCCTTCATGCCGATGCTCATCACTGGCAGCCTTTCCATCACAAAAAGAAGAATCTGTCAGAGTTTTCCATTCTTAGGTAACAGGAAGTCTCCTTCTTGTCCTCCCAATAAAAAAATGAAAAAGATGATGGACCTTCCATCCTGAAAAGATCTGTGAAGCGTAGGCTAGTCTTCAAGCCCCACTAATTCTGGAAGCACTGCTGATTTCTTGTCTTCATTGGGAAAAATCCACAAGTAGTCTCAGAGGACAGTTTTCAGATATCCATGTCAAACTGGGCTTCTTCACCTGTGGAAGTTAAAGTTATCAATGAAATTTAGGTCCTGATGGGGCTCGAGCAAAAAAAGTATCACTGCTCAAGTCATGGCATCCCTTAACACTAGCGATAAGGAAAATCCGAACTGAAGCATTCTATTTTTAAAAATTCCTTCCCCCTTCCACCTCCCCTTTAAAACGCCACTCAAAGCCTCTGGATTTATTTCTTGTTTGAAAAAAATGTCACACCATACACTTCCACTTTAGTTCCTGGTGAAATAAAAGGCCTTTCATGCACCCAAAACAACCCTGGAGGTGGGCACGTTAAAATTAGCTCCTTCTCATGCTGTCAGGGGACATAAGGGATTTTTATATAAATAAAGTTTTTAAAAATCAAAAAGTAGGGATGCAGCCTTCTGTGGTCCCTCAGAGGTCTACATGGCTCCCCCATCTGAGAGTCTCACAGCCTTTCTGTGCTACAAGGCTTGATGTAACTTTTAAGGGGAGCACATGCAGAAAGGCTGGCAGCCATAATCTTTCAATGATTCAGCCTGCCTATGAACAAACAGATGATGTAACTGCTTTTGATATTGGCAGGTAAGAGGCAGAATGAGCCTGTAATCTTTCAAAAGCTGTTTCCGTGTTGACTGTGTACCAACCAAGAACAAAATGTCCTTTCAAATGCTTTATTATTGTAAAGCAGATAAAGAAGCAACCAAGCAAGACTCCCAAGCTGTGGTTTCTCAGCAGCTTCACCAGTTCCATCTTGCCTCATTCTCTTATAACCACCAGCCATACTTAAGGCTCCTAGAGCCTTATTTTGGTTAGATCCCCCAAAATATTTTAGGACTAAGGTATTACCCTGATCTTTAATTTACCACAATTGTCTGAAGCACCTGACATAGTGCCACACTGGAGCACTACAGGAAATTAAAAAGGGCAGCATGCAGATCCAGCAACTCAATATGGAGATACAGATGTCAGTGCAGGTGGGCACTTGTAGATGCTGGCAGTGATTGGGATGCTGGCAGTCACTTTAGGATGCCAAGTGCTGACATCCCACCCAAGTACCCATGGTTTTTGATTACTTCCAAGTGGACAGCAGGCACATGAGTTTTCCAGATGTCCGAGTGGATTGGTATACATAGCTTCTGGAGAAAAGTTCCGTAATCTGCAATGTAGGAATAAGTAACTTTGTAGGACAGTCACAGATAGGCACTTACCTAAGCCTAGTTTCTCCTCGTCAGCATGGATGAGGCTGGCCTCAGACCTGATCTCATCCACATTTGGACATGTAACTCCTGGAATGTCTGGAAGATCACAAGGTGGTGTTTTGGCAACTGGAGAATTACGGCACTCCATTAAGAATTTACGGTCATAAATAATGCGTGTACCTAGAAAGGAAAGATAATCATAAATCACAGCTTTCACCTGAAAGCTTTTGTTTTATAAGCCAGTTCCTGAGAGGTAATGCCATGCTAGTCTATCACAGCAAAGAACCATCACAGGCTGGATCTCCTGTATTTGATAGCTTCAATTTTCCTGATCCCTCCCCTTCCCTATTCATAAAGCACAACTTCACTCTGTTCTCTCTAGACATTTCTTGTTCTTCTAGCTCTCCAGACATTTCTAGGTCCTCCAGCACAATTCTATGATCAATTTCCGATAGAAGAATCATACTGCAGGACTTAAAAATTGTTAGAAAATTTCAGCATTCCTTCTCATCCTTCTCTTTTGCTGTTAGAGCAACTGGGATTTAGGGCCTAAGCAGACTACCAGAAATAGTGCACATTAAATTGAGGCACTGCCCTGGCTCAGTGCTAGGGAATCATGGGAACTGTAATTTATTGTGACACCAGAGCTCTCTGACAGAGAAGGCTCAATGTCCCAGAAAAAAATACAGTTCCCATGATTCCTTAGCACTGAGCCAGGGCAGTGCCTCAATTTAATGTGCACTATTTCTGGCAGTCTGCTTAGGCCTTTAGATAGAGCAGAATTCCCTGCATGCTAATTCTTCTGGTTTTTCTCCCCATTTGCTCATCCTATGCTTTGAAAGGCATGGTCATAAATGCCTAGAAAGAATATTTTTGGGGGGGTTGTATGGGGCAGCAGCAGATGCCGTATTACAAATCCACAAATGTTTAACCCACAAATGTGGAGGGACAACTGTACAGTTTTAAATCAGTAAGGACTAGTTTTACCTGATTATAAGTGTAACACAAGTTAAGTCTTTCCTTGGGCTTATCTACATTAGGTTCCAAATGGTACACAAATGCACCTGACATTTCCACCTTATGGATAGAAATTAACTTTGATTATAAAGGTGGAAACACAAATTGGCCATAAACACAGGACAGAGGAGGAAAAGTGCAATTAATGGGCAACTTGAAGCACCATGTGGGGGAACACTCCAATAATGCCAAGTATGCCACTGATGCAATTGGCAGAGCTGTGAGGAAGAGTCCTGTTCTTTTCCACACAATGGAAAACAGATTTTAATAAACATTATATAGAGCACGAGGAAAGTCTTTAGGATACAGTGTACTGAGGAACCCGAGCTACAGTATTTTCCAGTTTGCTATCAGCATTTCAAAACAAGTTAGTCTCTGCAGACCAAGGGGGCTGGAATTGAACTGGCCAAGTCAACAGTTCAGGCCAACGCCCAACATTAAACAGCACTTAATCACAGTTTGGAGAGACAACAAGCCTTGCCGCCTTTTACAGCTGCCAACTATTAGAACGCTCATAAAACATCACCAGTTTTCCTAGAAGTGTTCTCAGTGTACCAGTTATTACAGGGACATTTCATAACAGGTTCATTACAGGACTGCAGCTCTGGCTTTACGTCTACAGAAACAAATGCCTGGAGACCTAGCTTAATAAAACAGTTTCAGATCAAGAGAAAGCGGCTTTTCCCTTTTATCTATTGGGTTGGGACAATTCTGAAGTCATAGTAGGCAAACCCTTTCATTTTTCCAGTGCTCAGCATATCCCACCTTACTTAATCCAATGTATTTCTGATCTTTGGAAGCACACAGTAGAAGTTTGGCCTGCCTTTAAAACTCCCAATGCTATGCATTGTGTATGTATTTGTGCAATGATTCCCAAACTTTGGCGTTGCAAGTGTTTTGGACTTCAGT